TACCTTAGTTAATCTTTGCTCATAGTTTTGTTTTGAAGGACCAACACATTGCTGCTCAAAAGTTTTGTTGCAGTACACGAAACCTGCATTAAATTTAGCCATGGAAGGGAGTCGGAGAGCCTGTAAGTGGTCCATGTCATCTTCACAACTTGTATATAGCGCCTCACAGAGCTTCGACGATTGGTATTCATTTGCAAGAACAAAATTCTTATATACCTGGACAATATTTCAAGTGCACAAGAATTAATAAGAAAGTAAATTTGGAAATCTTATTTTTACGTAGACTACCAAAATCTGCCAGCACAAAATTCAGAATCATCCCTTTGTTTCATCCACTAAGCCACACTCAATAGAAATTCATATTAGCGTATGGATTCATACCTCCTGCATTTGTTCATCCAACTGATCGACAGATTTCTTTGCATGCTGTCTGCCAAAATGCTGTGCATCAAATGCTTTAATAGCTTCATTATGTGCCGTTTCATGGGAACTTTGGAGAGATTCTTCAGACATAGGTAGCCTCAATCCTACCATCCTCTCATTGTACAGCTTAACACATCGCTCAACAATATCTTTGTTGAAAACCTCAACTAGTGAGCCTGTGGATGGGATCTCTCCTTTATTCAACGCATCCAATATCTACAAAATAGAGCAATCAGAACTGAGATCAAGATACCATTTAGTAAGCATAGAAGGCATATGATACATATCATATAAGCCATTATTTGGTGTTACATATCAAGAACGTATACATATGCTCATCACATATCTAGTAACAAATTTATCATTTGTAAAAATATGCACTCATAAATTGATATGTAACGAAATATCATCATAGCACTAAAGGGTATGAAACAGTAAATATCAAGGAAAACATGAATCACAATGACCACATTAAAAAGGTAATCTACCAATGTTATGCAAATTTTACGAGAACATGCTACCTGGATGACTTAAAGTAGCCAGGCAACACAGCCATCCATGAGAAGAGAAAAACATTTCTATTTACTTGATAAAGTATGTAAGAGCACCAGAGAAAGCAGCCACTTATTCTTTTTGATTTTTCAACGGCACACTTCCACTCATTCATATAAATGTTCTGAGGAATTTAAAGAATCAAGCCATACACATAAAAAATTGAAACTCACCTGTTCCAGGAAAGAAATAAATTCCTTCCCATTTAGTGTTTTCCCTTGCACTATCTTTGGGCGGATAATACTAGCAACGAGCTTTTTCAATTGGTCACGCCTTGCAACATAGGTAGAATCCAGGTCCTCATCCTTCAGATCACACAGCTTCGTCCGCATGAGATGAGGCTATATAACAAAAACAAGGAACAAAGTTATCAAAAAGAAGACCACCTATCAAGGCAGCAACAAAGACTCCACGTCTGAGTCAGATCAGGCAATCATAATATTGCACATGGAAGAAGAAAGAGAATTTCCTCCTAAGAACTTTGGAAAAACTATACTTCAAGGATACACAAGCACTGAATTCTAAGGATTTTGCACGCTTCAGCATGACTTAAAGGTAACAACCACAACCACACAAACAAAGTTTTATATTCGCGCATAATTCAGCAAAGACATTCAAAGATAACCATAAAGTTTCATGCACAAAGATAGCCATTTTGATTAAAGTTTCCATGCTCTGTATTTTCTTCTGAAAGAAAGGCTAGAAAATATGCAATAAAAAACACAAAAATGCCTTACCTGTGGTAAGCTAAAGGCTGTGCTGTTGTCACCCATTATAGCCAAGGAATCCCGAATCTGGTTAACCTGAAAGAGGTGATAACAAGAATAACTTCTGAGATAATAATGATGATTACCTGTACGATGCAGAACAAATGAGAACATACCTGGTCAATATTTTTGTTACCTGAAAACATAAGAAACATAATCAATTAACAAGGGGTGCTGCTTGTACGAAATGATCTAGGCGACATTAGTTAAAGAATACAAAGGAACTCTAACCATCTTCATTAGGGACATGTCTGAGAGCTTCATCCACCATTTGCTTCACCGATTTCCCTTCTGCATAAAGTTGGAATAGTGTTAATCATGACCAGATCACTTGCATAAAACACAGAGAAAACTGGAACATTGAAATGGATCACACAGGACCAGGGGCACACAAAATACTGCTTGTTATATCAGAAAAGAGTAAGAAAAGCATTTACAAATAGGCAGAGATTACATAGAATATAAGCATTGTTTATCTGAAACTATTATGAATGTTGTTGTCAAAAGCACCATGCACTTACGCAGAAAATCACGCTGGATAAGCCACAGAAGCTTTGACGGTTCAAAAGCAACATCTTCACCCTATAGGATATGTAAAAGTCAGAAACAAAGTTTTGAAGGTTGCCTTGTATCAAGAATAACAGCAATTTCGTTAGGGTGTACCTTTACTCTGCCAATTGAGTTGCATGAGCCAATCAAAAGAGAACCCAGTCAGTATTCATAGAAGCAGGAAATCATATTAAACAAGACAGAAATGCAGAGTACAATTGAGCAAACCTTCCATAAAATTCTTCTGCCAACTCAACAGCAAAGGAGAGCCGAGAAATATCAGCTTCACGGATCTGATGAGAACTCATATCAGAGAGAGAAATGGTAGACAAAGTTCTTTAAAACACTAGCTACTCCGTAACAGATCTGTATTTGTACACTTCCTACTAAACATCACAAGGGGTTGTCTGATACCCTATATTTCACTTTTAGGGTAAATCCTTCTATAAGATGAACTACCTAGGTCTTTGAATACACTTTGGTCTTTGGTTTTATTAATGACATGATAGTTGAAATTGATATACAGAAACCCCTGTAAGGCTTTACTCTCTTTGATTATAAGTATAATGTATCTAGAAGCATAAGCAATCTGAGCAAACAAAGAGGTGGGATAACTTACAGTTTCAGGCAGATTATAGATAAGAACAGAACTCATAACCGTTGCCAGAGCAAAAATCCTGAAAATTTACACAGAAATTGATTAGATATTCAGAGCTTCCGCAAACAAAAGTTTAAATGTGCAAATATTGAACTGTCTGGGTACCGGTCGTCATAAACATTTGACTTTCCAACACTTTCGAATCCTTCAGTGTCGAGGTAAATTACGGAAGTTTTTACTCCATCGATCTCCAGCTCTAATGGTGTTCCCCAGACCCAAATACCTGTATGCAACAATGAAATTTATTAGCTAGAATATATATGCAGTTGAATGATGATAGTGTCCTCTAGACATTGGTGCGATACCTTTTGTTTTGGTATCACGCATATGTCCAACACCAAAACCTGATGAATTTGAAAATACTGTAAGTCAATGTTCCGTACCAAAAAGTTCTACACCACGTCGCGATATACATAATATTATAAGTAAACCGCAGAACCCGAGTATATGAGATAAGAAGCACCTTCATAACAGGAAAGAGAAAGAAGCTGATTGAGTAGAAATGATTTTCCAGAACGATATGGGCCAATCACCTAATATTTCAACAGCATAGGAAATAACAAGCAAAACGTGAGAAAAAAAGCAACAAATATGTTGGTCCGAGAAAACCAGGTTCAGATAGAAAGAACATACAAAGAATTGATAATGAGTCAAACATCACTGTCACATACCGCAACAGCAGAAATAGGAGTTGTAATTCTGCTAATTGCTTCCAAACCTTCTCTACTAAGCTGAAGCTTTGTATGACCTGGAGCAGGTTCAACAATAGGAAAACTGCATAGAAGCAACAAGGAACAGTTAGTATCAAGAACAACCACAAATGATTTCCAAAAAGTGTTTGGCCATCACAACTGATCAATCATCAGGAGCTGTTTGCTACCACATCAATGGATTTCTACGGCAGCTCCAGTTGATGACAAGAAATTGCTACTGGTCTACAGTGATAACATTCTCTAGCAACAATGTAGCTTATAACAAACCTAAGACTTGAGCAACAAATTGAAATAGACAATACATTATCAAGAAGATTAATGGGTTCTCATGTAGACAGAAACAAAAACCTTTCTTTCAATCAAATTACAACGAAATAGAAGACCACATACCAGATCCAATGCCACAATCTATATTTCTTTCCCATAACTATAACTACAGGATGCGGTACTATAGTCCAGAAACGAAAATAAAAAAAAAAAACAAAACTTTAAGCCCAAATTGATAGAGAATACAAATCTGAGGGGAGTGACAAGCAAAGAGAAGAAATTAGACATACGCTTGGTGAAAATTATCGATGGAGAGAGACGTTGACGACAAGAGACAAAGAGAGAGGAAGAAAAGAAAGGTCCGGCGAGGAATCTCCATGAATTTGACCAGATAGAACACACACGATCCGTTATCAAACCAGATTGCCGTTTAAAGTCAAAAACGTGGGAATTGAGTTGAGACACGACCCAGACTTGTAGGATGATGAAGATGGAGGAACAAGGGATCTTGGAAACCTGGGGAAGTGGGTGTACGTTAAGAATCGGTGCACCCGCAGCGATGAGGAACACTGGATCGCAGGCTTCCTAGCAAAGCGGGTAATGTAAATGAAGAAACCCAAACATCAATTGTCGATTTGACCCAAAAACCATTCTTACCAATTATAAAATCCAAGATCTGCTGACTTGGCTCTCGAGGGTATTATAGTCATTTAACACATGCTTATGTAAGCTTATGCAAAAGTCAATTAAAAAGAAATTTGGTAATAATATGTTTTTTTCCTCTTAAAACCATGACAATTTTAAATGATAATTTCAACTACTCTCAATGTCAGGATATTTTTCGATTTTTGGCCTAACCTATAATTTTCTAGATTAGAACTATTAAATCTATAATATCTCCGGTTATAATTAATCAGGTTTAAGTTTTTCGGATTACTTGTCTTGATCTAGTATCATATGAGGAGTTTGTTTTCGTTTTTAGCAAAGACCAAGACCAAGATCACTACTACATGCAAATTACAACTTTGTTTTGGACTTCTCCGAATCCTATTCTTTGTTTGTAAACATAACTTTAGACAATTTTGAGTAAAAATATATCTTTTGATGAAATCCATCAAATACTATATACAAAAAAAAAAAAAATTCACAACATACTCAAATATGGAAATTCGAGTTTTAAACGATAATGCCTAATGAAGAATTGTTCTCTGGCCAACACTCTCACTTGCTTTAGATACAAAGCTATCTCCAACTCTCCTCTCTCCGCAGCTTCTTCCAGTACTCTCAACACATCTTCAATGGCGTCATCTCCCGCCAATCCCTCCACTTCCGGTTCAATTTCAAACATTTCCTCGATTCCCATATCCATCGACGTCGCTTTCATCAACGTATCATAGTTCGTCTCCACCCATGTGGCCAAAACATCGGAATCATCTTTGAGATTTAAAGCTCTCACCTTTAATGTCTCTCTCTCCATCTCAAGCTCATTGATGATTGTTTTAACCGATTCAGATCTTTGCTTCACCTCTGATTGAAGTTTCCATAGGTTTTCAATCTCTTCCTCTGATCTCTCCATGATTGTTAGAACGTCGTAGTGGAGACTCGTAGCTAATCGATCTAAGGCTTCGGTTCTCGAAACTGATTGATTCCGAGTTGGGATTGATTCAGTGTGTAGAAATGGGTGATCATTAGCGAGAACTTTCTTGAGGTTTCGAATGAAATCGAGTAAATTGCATCGTGGGTGTTCCCATGTTTCGATGTATCTAGAGTTTGTGAATCCTGAAGAATTGACGAATGGGTGGTTGGTGCGAATTGGGATTGAATTAGGGTTTATAAACACCAGAGGAGGCGTTAATGGGTAGTTTTCGTGAATCCAAATGGTTAATTGCACGGCTGGGAGTTGTGTAGTGGAGTTTCGAATACCTAGAGATCCTTCAAGGCAAAAGAGTTGAACTTTGGCGCCGTTGTTGTGATTGAAAATATCGGTTGAGAGCTCGAAGTTTGGATAATCTTGGAGTAGTGAAGTTAGGTGCTTTCTGATGAGCCATTTTTGATCAGGATCTGTGTAGGATAGAGCAAATGAACCGGTGGCGAGAAGGGCTTTTTCTATGAATCTGACTTGAGAAGAAGATGATGATGCTGCCATTCAAAAGGTTAGTGACTTTGAGGCTAAAGCTGGTTCTGTGATATTTATGACGATTCTTTGGTTTTGAGTTCTTCAGTTTTATTGTTTTATATTGTGAAATGACTTGAAATGTTTTGGGTCAAGCACTCAAGCTTAGGGAACAAGGGATAGTGATTGTTCCATTGTTTCGTGGAAGTTTACCTTCTTGGATAGAAAACACCTTTGCTAATTGTCTTTTTCCTTAGATTATTATTATATTTTGTCACTGGATCATTGATTAAGTTTGTATGTATTTAATTTAATTATCCATTTTGGCTTGGTCTAACTTCACTAATTTAGTCTCAATACTTTAATCTTATGCTATAAGGCTTTTTGACTTGGAATAGCTGAAGATTGCTAAGCCTTTCTTTGTTTGATGGAACATAAATGCTTTGATCAATGATTTTTCTGTGCAGTCTCGTTTGCTGCTCAGTGAATTTTACATATCTCTAGGACTCAAGTGAAAATTATGGTGGACATGGTTAATTAGGTTGGTGGCTTCCTCTGATAATGTGCTTCTCTAGATTCCTTTTTTCATACATCAGCTTTATCTTCGACCTTAGATTATATTGTGGTCACTTTCGTATAATCTCGTTTTAGCTTTCTTCTTAGTACTCTTTATCCGTCTTTTGCCACTTTTTTTTTGTTCAAATCCTAAAGAACAATTTTCCAAGCCAAGCTACAAACTGTGACAACATCTTTTCCTCATTTATATATCTCTGTTGAAACTTGAGACAGTTCTTTTATGTGTACATGTCGCAGTTAAACTATGCATGTGAAATTTGGTGAATGGTTTAGGAAAAGGAAAAGACTCCAATCCCCAAAATAATTCATTACAACCCATCATGGTAAATTATCATTCAACATCTTGATATAATAAGCCTCAGGATATGTACCTATCTTCCTATCATGCGTTTTCTTCGTCCCGAGCATGATTTTTCTTTCTTCGTCCCGCTGTCTCGCAAGTTGTTCCTTTTTCTTCTCTAGATGCTTCACCTTTTGTTCGAAATCTTTATATATATTCTTTGCATTTTGCTTTATATGTAGTTTTTCTTCCCAGTCTTTTTGAAGCGCTCTGATCAGCTTCTTCAGAACCTAGTTAATTTGCAAACAACATCCCATTGTTTAGTTTAACGTAAGATTGACTAGTGCTCAAATGAAAGAAGCTAAGAGATCTTACTTTTATTTCCAGCTCCACAGATTTTCTCAAACTGTCATGACTTGTGGGGTTACAAACATCTTTTAGGAGATCATGTACAGCTTTTCTGCGGTCACTTCTAGGCATTTTTTTCCGAATGCAGTCTAGCTATTTATATGGTAAGTCAAAATTTCAGAATTCGTTCTAGTAAGTAAACTTTGATGAATCTTCGGGGGGATTTTTAAGCTTAACAGTAGTAATAGTACCTCTCTGCTAAATTCTCTGAATTCATATTTTCCATGATACTCTAGCTCTTGAAATTGTGCTTTCTGCTGAAGTAACGAGAATTGCAGGTTCTAAACATGCAAATAAAGTTTAAGGGTATGTTAAATATGATATAGATTTGCTCTATATATTGAGCTGGTTCTCATAACTCTAAGATCATAATGATATTGAGCATTTACATGATCAATGGTTTCTTCTGTTGTTTCTCCTTTAAGTAGCTTGTCAAGAGCCTTCTGTAATTTCTCTACCAGCTTGTTGCAGCGGTTAATGAGGTTTGCAGCAGAGTGACAGCTACTGACAGCGCGGTATCTCTCATCATTTAAGCTCCACCACTGTGACTGCCCACAAAAATAGATAAAGCATTTCAGTGACTATAATGAGCTTTGGGTGGTATGTATCTTCAGGATTTACATGTTTTAAACACTTACTCTTGTTTCTGTGTACTTTTGGCTTATGTGAAGATAATCTTGTTCCACTTTTTTGAGTCGCTTCTCAGCTTCTAAGTTATGTTTCTTCAATTTGTTGTCATTATCAATAACAGAAGTGGAGACTTTGTTGATGCCTTGGGGATAATCCATAGCCTTTTTTTGGGTTCTGTTGTTTATGGGTCGTCCCCAAATAACTGATTTGTAATTTCTATTAACAAAATGTGTTGATTGGTCTTTACCTCTCTTATAAAAATTGAGAATCTGAGCACAAACCAATTTTAAATTGATTAACGAGGATCTTGCTCCCCACGCCAAGGTAATTCATAATTTTTATTTCGTCAACGACATGTATTTAAATTAACAATTCCATATGCAAAATGATTGGCTTCACAGGTTTTAATGTTTTAAAATATACTCGTATGAAGGATGCGCCAAAAATTAATCACTATCACAATTCACAAGTATTTACGTCCACAATGATATTTATGATTAACCAATGTCTCAAAAACATAAAATACTATTAATCCTCATAGAGCAACAACCATAGAGTTGGATCACACTCTCCCTTACACCCAAAAAAAAAAAAGACAAAAGGGGAGCCACTTTTACGCGTGCATGGATCCTGTAAACATACCCTTGATATCAAAAACTATTAAGGGATTCGAATACTCCTATATCTCACACCTCTCTAGAAGGTTATGCCATATATATAAACCTTCAGACACCGAAAACTATGGAACCGACCGATTCAGTGATCATATCTACTGATTCTTGCTTATCTTTCTCAATTGAGTGTTGATCTGCACGTACATGAGAAGACAGCCACTTGGATTTCACATACTCAGTTCTCCTCCATGGCGGCACATGAAGTCCTTTCTTCTTCAAGCTCTGCTTTGCTGCTTTACATATAAGGATGATGATCCTCTGCAGCCTATCTGCTTTCCCCACAAAGATGTAAGGCAGAGTTTGTAGCATCGACTTGTATGTCTTTGTTGCACGAGCAATCTCGAACTTCGATTTGAAATCTATGTCGATCAACAGTCTGTCACCTTTCATTATCACATCCACATACTCATATTCCCCTGTTTCATTTCACAAAACAACCAACTCTATTGTCAAGCAAGGATCTAAGAAATGGCTTCACAAGTTTGCCTTTTCACAGAGGATAAGAGTTAATAGACTATACCAGCAGGACAAGAAGGCGATTTCTCCCAGCGAGATTTGCACAGAGCCGCATCATAACCTAAGCTCACTAACCCATTAACCACACTTTCCAAGCATGATTCGTTTTTAAGCTTGCAATTCTTACTTGTTTCAACAATCTTGGTCACATCACTCAGCAAATTCCTCTCACGGATGCTCTTACAGAGAACCAAACTCTACAAAATCAAATCTCCATATATCAAGTTTCTGCTTATCAAACAAAGCTAGAATCCAGAACAAAACTGATGAATCATACCTTGAGGATCTCACAAGCTTCACCAGAAGAACATTTGAAACCATCAGACCATTCAGATTCATCGTCAGAGCTCTCTGTACCACTCCCGCTAAAGCAATTACATCGGCTACGGCCACACCGCTGTTTATCGCCGCCGTTGTTATCCTCCATGAAATTTAGAACCATCTTCGCCAAACAAACCGAGCTCGGCTCAAAATCTCCAGAGTTACCTCTCGGAAGCGGTGCCTCAACATCTGAGCCGGAAAATTTCTCCGAAACGTTCTTATTAGTGAACTGACGCTCAAAGAGACGCTTCAGCCTCGATTTCGGCATTTGTCTCATCGTCTCCGGGAAAGGTACCTCTTCCGATACATCGGAATCGTCGATCGGTTGGATTTTCATATGAAATGGCATTGCGATTACTCAAAAATTCAAATCGACAAATCCAGATCAAGCTGAACAAAAAAACTAAAACCTAATCTCCAAATATTTTTGTCGAAAACTATGATCTAAACTTGAAGATAAAGCATGGAATAACTTCGAAACTGGGCAAGCTTCAGGAAAAAAAAATATAAAAAGAAAAAGAGAAAGATCGCTTTAAATTTAGCTCTTTAGATACGGATTAAAGTTTCCGAGATACGCGAAGACGCGGAAACGTCACGCTTTTATGCTTTTGTGATCATTATAACGACAGTCAGACGCAAATCTCGCCGTCGATTTCATCATTTTTTGTTACACAGAGATCTGATTATCGCCGGCGATTGAAAAGTAGATTGAATAAAAAAATCCAGAGAGGATGATGATGAAACTGAATTTTCGAGAAACGGAACAAAAACAAAAATCTTGTGATGTGGCGAAGAGTAAAGAGGATAAGCTTTGTTTTGGGGGTGGGTTTTATAAAGGGAAAGGATTTGATATACACGTGTGTTAGTGTGTATCCTACGTGTTCAAAATAGCTAAATCTGTAAAACGATCAAGGCACGTGTCGTGAGATCAACGGTGTTGGTTCTTCACAAATGGCTAAGATCCGATGCTATTGGTTTGAGGAAAAGTCAAAACTACCCTCAATGCGTTTCAGATAGAGGACGTGTCTGCGACTCCACTTAGGCCGGGAGTCAGTTAGCAAATTCACCCTGAATAAGTTGAGAAGGAATGGGTGAGATGACGGAAACGCCCCTCCGTATCCAACGTACGTACTTTTTGCGGTGCATACGTATTTTGGCATATTCTGTAGTATCTCCGTACAGATACAATTACGTAGTAATCTCATAGTTTAAAATTTAAATTAAGCGGATTAAAGATATTCGTCCCCAAAAAAAAGATATTTGATCAACATTCATAAATAAATAAAAAGAATTAAACAACATCCATAATACTGATATCTTTAACAGATTAAACAAAAACATCGATAATATTGAGTCTTGGCACACGATCAAATACATTTGAATAGAGTAGAGACAATAACAATGAAAAAGAAACTATGACTAATTGACTACTCTTCTGTACAAGTTGTCACAAGTCACAATCAACATTTTTTTTTATTTTTTTTTTTATTTTGGGGTGATTTTAGTAGAAATTTAAGGATATTAATAAATTTGAGCAAAAAAAAGTTTTATAAGAAGTTAGTTGTACATTCAAAAATCGAGTTTTTTTAAAATATAACAAGTAATGTATCATGTATACTTAAATCTTTTTTTTTTTTTGATAAAATGTATAATTAAAACATTGAAGAGAAAATACGTTCATTTTTTTAATACCATCATGTGAGGTGGTAATATCCATTATCTTTTAACTACAAATTTTCTTTCAAATGATTTAATAAAATATTTATTTTTCAATAAAACAAGAGTTATACGAATTTTTTACAGATAACTAAATACTATAATGTTAACATGTTGACCCAAAAAAAGAGAAGAATTATAGCAATTTAGAAAATGACCATTTTTTCAATTTAGAAAATTACGGATTGAATAAGGAAAGGTTTGGGAAAAATGTAAATTTCTAGGTTAAGGAAATTAAAAATGTCAAATCTATTGAAGTAAAGATCTTTTCTCGCAGTAATATATAAAAAGAGATAAGACAGGTAAACGAATCCACAAGATCTAAACAAAGCCGGCCCAACAAGTCCAATTTTTTAAAAGCTCTCCCGCACAATTTTCGAGCATCCCGCTCTCGTTTTCACTTTTCAGGTACTTTCCCTCTCTGAGTTAGGGTTTTTGATTCGACGTATCTCTTTTGTTTCGATTTTGTCTCTGTATCGATTTTCTCGCCGCGAATTTCGATAGGTTCTTCACCAAACGATTCGGTCTTGTTTCTCCATTGTTGTTTGCTTCTCTATCGGCAAGTAATCTTCTTTGATTTCTTCGACGGATCTGGGAATTCTGAAATTTTGAACTTCTTTTCTTTTGTTTGGTTTCTGTAGATATGGCTGGTAAAGGCGGGAAAGGACTTATAGCTGCGAAGACGACGGCAGCTGCTAACAAAGACAGTGGTAAGAAGAAATCCATCTCTCGCTCTTCTCGCGCCGGTATTCAGGTACTCCTCAAACCCTAGCTCCTTTTGCGTGTTGAGAATCGAGTGGCTCTGAGTTTGAATGTGCTTTAGGGTTTTTGATTTATGTTCATTTGTGATTTGGGAACTAGATTTATACTTTGTTCTATCTTTAATGCATTATTGTGAAATCGTTGCCTCTCTAGTTTCTGGAAATATGTTTCGCTCTGTGTTTCTGCAATAAAGTAACTATGGTTTATACACACTAACTTGGTTTCTCTGTATGCAATCTTTGTAGCTGCGTATGTTGGAAAACAGTGTTATCTATCTAGATTCTAGAGTAACGTTTATACAATGGAGTGCTTCTGTTTTGTAGCTAATTACAGTGTACTACCAATTGGTACTAAGTGAGCCTTAATTGAAGCATCTACTTGTCTTGTGTATGTTTGTGTGTGTGTGTTATTGTCATTAGTTTACTTTTGGGAATCTTCCTTGTTAAAGCCGAATTGTAGATATCACTGAATCCATACAAGTCTATGTTTCTTATATGGCTTTATTGCTGCAGTGTCTTTTACTATGATAATCACTTGATACGTTGTAATATCTATAAGATGTACTAGATGAATGGTCAAGCAAATAAAAGAACTGTGTGGTTAGTTTAAGTGTCTTCTGTAGTTATTTATAAGATAAACAATTGGTTAGCGTTTCATAACTCATTGGATTTTGTGTAATTGGTTATCATATATTGTGCTTCCCCTATATAAATGTTTGCAGTTTGAATGTATATCTATCTACAATATCTATCTACAAGAAGATATGTCTGATTAATGGGAAGCCTTTCTCTTTGCTTTAAGTGATATGCTTATTTTTTTCTTTCCGATGTGGTCTTCTTTCAGTTTCCAGTGGGTCGTATTCATCGTCAACTCAAGCAAAGAGTTTCAGCACATGGAAGAGTTGGTGCCACTGCTGCTGTCTACACTGCATCAATTCTAGAATACTTAACTGCTGAAGTTCTCGAGTTAGCTGGAAATGCGAGCAAGGATCTGAAAGTGAAGAGAATAACACCAAGGCATTTGCAACTTGCAATCAGAGGAGATGAGGAGCTTGACACTCTCATCAAAGGAACAATTGCAGGAGGAGGTGTGATCCCTCACATCCACAAGTCCCTTGTCAACAAAGTCACCAAGGATTGAGTATCTGTCTCCGAGTCCTAAGTCTCAGTTTACTTTACTATGTGCTTTGCTAGTTATATTAGCTATCTCATGGACGTCCTTCAGTGTATATGGGTTCATTTTAACTTGTAGGTCTCTCGTTTTAGACTCATACTCCTGTTATTTTGCTAATGCTTACATGATTAAGGATGATGATTCTTGATTTCTTGGTTTCCTATACTGTTGCATGCCTCTCTTCTAGCTAAACCCGGATAATAGAAAACAATAGAAATCCTCGATTAGACGATGAAAACAACAATCAACATCTATAGCAACTGATGACCACAGCATTTGATTGTTACACAATTTTAAAATAGTTATACAGAACTAGACAAACGCATAAATTAGTCCTCAAGCAAGCACACATACACACGAGTCCTCATACATTGAGGGAACATAACTTATAACTACCACACAAAGAGCTATGAAATAAACCATCAAAGTTTACACTTGGGTTTGGTTCTTGTAAGTAAATAAATAAATAAAATGTCATTCATCTTCCTTCAGTTGCCTTCCTTGGATCATCCCTGGACCTGCAGCAAACAAGGTGTTCCTAAGCAGAACTTGCAACATATTTGGTCTATTAGCCGCGTTATAAGAAATGTTGTTATTTCACCTTTATATTAATTGCAGGCTTGAAGGTGTCTTCCATAACTTAAAACCTCTGCAGGTTCTCTACCATGTGGTTGCACGGTTTCAAATGCCTCGACGAGTAATGCAACTTTCCTCTTCCTTGCTGGGGCAAGTTTGCTAACAGCACGCTGCAGAGCATAATCAAACATCCAATCCTCTGAGTTTCTCCTCTCATCTATGTCTTGATGCTTGAGGTCCACCTTTTCAGAATCCTCCTCCACTACAACTGGAAGGTAATTGGGTTCTCTTGGGTTGAATGCTCTTAAATCCTCTGTCTCTGCAACGGGTTTCTTGCATTTGATGATAGTCCATGAAATGCTAGAGTCTGGCTCTTCTTGGTTGCAGGGTTTTCGTGTACGGTTATATGGAACCTTTGCCTTTTCTTCTGTCATCAATATAACTTCAGTCTGGTCTTGAAACTCCTCTTTGCAGTCTTCAGCTTCATCTTTTAGTGTCTCTTCACCAGCATCATCTTTATCCTCAATAGCATTACTTGCAGCTGAGTTCTTTATCATATCAATAACTTCTGAAACAAAGCAACTAGATACATCAGCATCTTCATCTTTGTTTTCTTTCTCTTGGATCTCTTTCATAGAGTCATCTACCAAAGTCTCCTCGATTGCATTATCTGCTTCTTTGTTCTTCATCATATCGATAACTTCAGAACTAAAGCAACCAAATAGATTAGCATCCCCATCTATGTTTGCTGTCTCTTCGAGATCTTTCACAGAGTCATCTACCAAAGTCTCCTCAATTGCATTATCTGCTTCTGAGTTCTTGATTATACAGATAACTTCAGAATCAAAGCAACCAGAGTGATCAGAATCTCCATCTCTGTTTCCTTCATCTTGAATCTCATTCATTGAGTCATCTACCAAAGTCTCCTCCAAATCAGATTCTTTTAAAAGATCAGCATCTCCATCTCTGTTTACTTTCTCTTGTACCTCATTCACAGAGTCATCTACCAAAGTCTCCTCCAAACCAGATTCTTTTAACTCAATGTCATGATCACCTTCTGATAAACTCACCATCTCAGCACTATCAGAGTAATCATCAGAATCAGTTTCAGAACGAGGTGCTCCTTCAGAAACAGTTTCCGAGATTTGACTATCAATATCAACCTCACAAGCACCTCCATTTACATCCTCAAACTCTTTCTTCTCCTCAATATCCATCTTAACATACTCTTCCTTATAAGCTTCCATTTTCACACTCTTCTGGGACTTCAAACTCTGCCTCCTCGAGGATATAAAGCTTTTCAGAGGAGGATACTGCACGGAGTGAAGATGACCGTTGAGTGAACAATACGTGTAAGGACAGACTTTCAAAACAGAGGTTCCATTAATTTGATCAAAAGTCTCGCCATGGTTAAGCATCAAATACTCTGGAAACTTGGAATCTTTTAGAGTTGAAGAACAAGTAGCTCTCTGTGAACATCTCTTGAAACTCGGAGCCTTTGTCAAACCCCTACCGATCCTAGAACTCGGCTTGTTATAACTTTTTTCCTTGTTAACTCCATAACGAGAATCATGTTTTAGACCAGCTTGGTTCTTCTGATTCCTTGAAAGATTAAGTCTTTTCTTGTTCTCCTTTCTTGCCTCAGAACTACTAGTGCCTTTCATGTAATTAGGTGAACCACCTATCACTTTAACAACAAGATCATGCTTTGGTAGTTCTTGTGACTTACCTGATTGAGAAGAAACATGATTGTCTTTAAGCTTCCTTCTAGGTTTAGTTCTCTTCATCATCATCATCTCTGGTCCAAGGTTCTTGAGATGTTCTTGTCCGAATCGAGTTTCAGGTTGGAGATTGGAAGAAGACTCGATTGTTAGACAAGTCTTCCTCTGAACCATCTTTCCTTTTTTTGCTTTGCCTGAAGACAAAGTTATTGTTGTTTGTTTAGAGCAGAGGAAAATGGGAAGATTTCAATGGCGGTGGTAGGGTAAAGATACGTGTGCGGTTTTGTCTTAGTGCCTTTTGTAAACTTTACGTGAATTTGGTTCAAACTTAAAACAAATGAAAGATTTGAATAAACTTTTGTGATTTGGACAAAGCACTACTGATAAAGAGATTGGTTTTGGTGGGTGGGTCTACTTCTCTTTTATTATTATTATATTTTTTTTTTTGGGCAATTTCTCTTTTATTATTGTGCCCATTTTTTAAGGGATGATTAATTATTGGCTTCTTCGTGTTGCACGAAATAATGCGCATTATGTTATTTTGTCTTTCTCTCTCAAATCTTTTTTTTAGGCTCCTGTCTTATCCCTCAAATTAACAACGAATCTCCTTTTTTTTTTATTAATTTATTAATTCCCATATATATTAATTTGATATTTTCGCACATAATGCTTTCTAGATTAAGGAAGCTAAGATATTATTTGATTCAACCATGGACTAAACACATCTTATATTCGTTGCAATCATTCACAATCTCTGAAAAACAGAATAGATCGCAATAGGTTTTTTAGAACGGAACCGCACAAGAAAGATCGTTATGAAAATAAACACATTTTTACGAGTTTGATTGGATCATAAGCCTCGATCAGATTCAGTCCGACAATCCACTATGAGAAAAGGTTTGTTAAATCTTAAATCTTATGAACAACAAGCAAGAATCGAGAGAGAAAAAGCTCAATGAACTCTTGGATACAACTAAGTAGAGAATAGAGTATTTAATGTAACATTTTTATACTGATATCCAATGTAAGGACAAACCCTCTGACGTGTTCAGAGTCTTTGTTTTAACTTTGCTCTCCCTTGAAACCATCCCCTTCCCCTACTTCATGTCTTCACCAATCACCATTCACCAGCTCCTCAATTCGGGTTTATACCAAACCGATACTGACCTGAACTGAATCACAATAAACATGCAACATTGGTTAAGTTAATGTTTACAAAAGTTTTTTAATATGTGAATATAATTGAAAGTGTAAACTGAATATAATGCTCTTGAAACACTGAAACAAAAGGTTTTAATACGAAATTATCAACATATTTGGGTTGTAGAGTACGTTTAATAAATCAAAATTGTGTAAGGTTCAATGTTCTTTAGTAGAGTTTTAACATATTACGAGAGGTAAAAAATTGAATGTGAATTCCTTGAATACTATATGATCGTTCGTTTAAGTGTTTAAAAAATGTTGTCACAATTCCAAAATTATAAAATACATGAATTTGATTACATAATAATTATAGAGTTTCGAAATACAAGTTAGTATTATCCGTGCAAACTTTACCTTCCACAACTTTAGCCATCAAAAGCAGATAAGTCTCCGCCGTTTTGAATTTAATTTATGTATATTTTCACTTCTTTCTACACGTAAGTTATGAAAAATGTGTAATGTATGCACTTATCTCCGAAGTTGCAGCTTCTCCCAAGAAACTACTCAAGAATGGTGACAGTTACATACACTGGCGCTTCATGATTGGCCAGAAGCAAAATAAAAATAAAATCAAATGCTTCGGACCCATCTTCTAGTCTTCTTTGAAGAAGTCGTGACAACGTCGTGTTGACAAGTCGGGAACAAGCAAAAAATCTTATCTTTCTCCACATTATTTGGCTTCCAAATCTTTATTTCTTATTTATATCTAAACATATTCTTGCTTCATTTCTTCAGATCTTGAAACATACTCTAAACAAAAGAAACAAAAGATTTGGCCAACTTCTTTCTTTCTGTGGTGATTGCGAATAAGTATGTCTATGGGGAAGAAACATCTTAACATCAATTCTCTGAATCACCAATCCACAAAGGACGAAGGCAACAACTGCAAGAACAGCCTCTTCTTTGGATTGTTTGATGACCCTGAATCTACAAGGTTGAGAAGTGGGAGTATGAAGAGACAATACAGCGACATGGGAGATAGCTACCACAGAGTTTATGAAGAACAAAATGATGATGTTGATTATGATGGTGATGGTGATGAGGGATCAAGGATGGACATGAAAGTCTTGATGGTTTTAGAGTATATGAGAGAGCTTTACGTGGGACAACTTCAGCTGCTTAAAAAGATGTTTCCAGGTGCAGCTAAAGAAGAGTTTCTTGGTTTCTTCAACAAAATCGGAGACGCTGTGTCCCAATTCAAACAAGATTCTCGTCCTCATACAAAGTCAATGACTATGCAGAGGAGTCTTAGTGCTGGTTCGCCACGTTTCACTTCGAAAGGGGTTAATTTGGGTCCATCAGATCTAAAAAATGATAGGTTTAAAGTTACAACGGTCAATGCTGGTGGAGCCGGCGGAGCTGGTAGTTCTGCGGGAGGAGGTAAAGGTGGCTCAGCGGCCGGTCAGGGACAGACCAAGAAGTAGTTTGGATTTGTGACATGTGGTGTGGCCATGGATGATCAAATCTTATGAGACTCAGGGTTTAGCATTATTTGAATGAAATGTGAAAAGTGTGGTTAAAACTTGGGGATTCCTAGTTATAAAGATGGGTATAGTTTCTTTATTCAATCATACTTCTTTTCCTAGTTGGGGTTGTTTTGTGTTTTAGGATTTATAGAGATGAAGTATTACTCTCATCCAAAGGTAGAAGAAACTAGGATCAACTAGCTTTGTTTATATATTCTCTTTAGTGATTGTTTCTAATATTCAATTAATAAAAGAAGCTTTGTGTGCATAATCTTTAATTAATTGAAATAAAATGAGTTACTTCATATATTTACAACACTTACATGTAAGAAGTTGACAAGAATTTGTGTCTTCAGTGCATATTCCCTCTCTGTGCAGCCACAATGAAGACCATTAGAATCGGAGACGCAAGAAGAATCACATATAGGAGTGTCTCATTTATCCCCATTGCCTCTCCTTCTTTTTCTTCCTGCGCTTGGTAATCCGTTTTATCTTTGACAAAGGCTTCAAAGTAGTCCTGATAACCAGTGTTTTCATCGATGAAGCTCGACCCCTTAACCTTCAGCATCTCCATTGCCTACAAGAGTGTAAAGAAAAAACCTCACATTATTCAGGGAAACTGTTTGCCAAAACTGGATTGAAACCGCTATGAGTTATGGTATATTAAGAGATGTCTCTGGGTGTAACAATTTCTTAAGCCAACTCTTTTTATCATTAGACACACAATAGGAAAACAAAAAGAGTTGAATTGGCTCTTGTCCGATCATAGTCAGATATATAGCAAACTCAACTATCTGCTTGTTGGGCTTTGTAGGTATAATACTTTTGTGGGTGTTTGAGTTACCTGAAAACTGAACATGAACTGCCTCGCTTTCTTGCTCACTCCCGAGTTTGGGTGGGATATAAGCTTCTCATACATGCGCCTTGCTTTGTCTGTCCTGTCAGTCGCTCCAAAATACGATTTTAACGCACAAGATCCCATAAGGCCAATACTCAACAAGACTATTTTTTTTTGTTTTTGACATCACTCAACAAAACTACTTTTGAGGATATTTTAGAACATTCACAAACGAGCCATCAACTTGGTAGTTAGAAACTAGTATTTTGTGGTTTTCTTTGGGGACTTTTGGAGCTTGATAGAGTTTTGGGACTATGGTTTACAAATACAAATATATAATCATGAAGAAATACTTGTCACCCTGTAGTTGCATCAAGAGAAATTATAAGGAGAGAAAAACTTACTTTCGAAGTGAATCCTGACAAATAGACCACTGCAAAGCCGCTAGTCCATGAAGCTCACTCTGCACAACTAAACTCGGAACTAGTTAAGGTCACATCTACTACAGCGAACATAAGAACTTTAGGTGATCTAGGTGGATCAATCGATTAAGATTCCGATAAAGTGACACCCAACAAAGCAAGAAACTAATTAATGCAAAATAATCAGGTCCTTAAAATACTTTTACTGATTGTGTGGTTGGCTGTTATATAAGCTTGTTGAATTTTTGCTCCACATACATACTGATGGGTAGATAATAAAGTTCTCATGTAGTCAAAACGAGTAAGGCATATGTAGAAAAGGAATGAGTAGACTAATCCATAAACGTAGACATGAGTATAAGATGAGTAATAAACCAGATTTGCAGAAATTACCTTGAAAACTATTTTCTCCATGACCTTTTCATAGTATGGCAAAGCTTCCTTGAGTTTCCCAGAATCCATAAGCGAGTTCCCCTCTTCTATTGCCTGTTATAATTGAAGTATCACAATCAAGGGAAGAAGTGAATGATGAGCAAAACGATTCTAGCTACCTTGAAACACAGATAGGAGCAGACATGCCTGTAGATAAAGCACATAACCTTTTTTAGTTATTCTCCTCTGAAATCAATTTTTCAACTTTCTAAATGTGACAACGTGCAAATCTAAGAGAATCTGCTTGAGTGAACATGAGTCCATTGCACAGTTTCAGCTGAACCATATCCTAGCTCTATATGATCTATAAATAGGATTTTAAAGACGGCAGCTAGAAATTTATAAGATATAGATTGGAGCATTCTCACTAAGAGCAAAATTATTCTGTAAATGAGATTGTTTTGCAATATTACATCCAAATTAAGTTCACCATCAGGTCTGTCCTCAAAAAAGTTGTAAGAACAAAAATGTATTTGGAGTACCTTCTCACACTCAAGTTTGAGTTTGGGATCAATGTTCAGTCCGATTGATTCCTTGTAGGCTATGAGCAATTTTTTTGTCTGTTCTTCTCTCACAATCCTCTCTTCAGCGGTCTCAACTGAATCCCCCGGTCGGAGTGTCCTTCCACCACCAAACTTAAACAAGAAAAGTATATATCTCAATCCTTATGACTTGAGACCATAGATGTTAACAGAAAAGTATACATTCCAAAACCATTGAAGTTAAGAGTTGATAAACTTCTCATCAGAAGATGCAAATTTATACAGCCAAAATTGGCTTCCCACGCTCATCACCATGAATGGATTAGTTTTAGAAATTTCAAGTTGTTCAGAAACCTAGTGCAAATGCTACTTGGAGAAAATAGTGTTTTAGGACATATACATGTATTTACTTATCATCTAGCTTAAAAGGAGGGATATTTTTTTTTCTTTTTTGACATCACTTAAAATGAGGGATATAAATTAGGCAGAGTTGATAGAATTTCGCAGCCATCGACAGAATGAATTATTCAAACAATTCAAAGAACTATCTGTATCTAGCCCACTTCAGAATACTAAGCAAGTTTTTATACCATAGCCAACAATCCAGAATGTACTTATTTCTAGAGGAAAATACACAAACAAGTCATTTTTGATGCATCATATTTCAGAGTAGACGACATGATATGCGAACTAAATGATAAACCCATGAAACCTTTCTGGTACTCCTATTTCTAAATGTCTGAAGTAAATTGGCTCTATCAACCCTATCTTAACAACATTGGACATACAACTTCTTTCCCCTTGGGGTTTTTGGAACAACTAATCCAGCATAACACATATGATGGGCCAGTCACATACCGTCTTAGAGATGTTGCTAGGTCTTGGGAAAACTCCCCATGTAGAAACTTTGGGCTTATACACATCAGAGTTTCCATCTCCTTCTTGCTCGACCTCCTTTACTTTCTCCGCAAATCTTGTTTTATCACCAACAATAAACTCCACCTCAGGTAAGTCTCCTTCAGGAAGATAGTCGACAATAGGAACAAGTCCCGCTGGAAGCCCTCTTGTGCTTTTCTTATCAGCAAAGCCAAGCCCCATGAAATCAATGCTGGAGACTTTCAATTCTTTCTTCTTAACATCATTATCTTCAACAACCTTGTTTGATGATCTAACAAAACTTTGCTCTGTACTACCTGAAACCCATCAGAATCAAGATCTCAAGGTCATGTTTTGATTGAACTTGTACATATTAACATGAACATTAACTTTCCACATATTGACAGCCTCACCAAGCACTTCTATCCCTAACATAAAGAACATTTCTCCATTGATGCAGCTAAAAGTCAAAGACTTTACTCCTAAATTCAATTCAAAACCAATAACGAAATGGCAACGAACAACACATGAATGATCTACTCAAGCAAACACAATTTCAAATGATACTAAAGCCTAGTGGAAAAGTGCATTGATCTACAAACTCAAGCAAAGACAGTTACAAGAATTTTGTGCAAAAGATGGTTTTTTACTGAACTGGGTTTAGCTTCCTCGACAGCATCAGTTCCAAGCCCTTTCCTTTTCTTATAGTCATTGGCTTTTTGCATAGCAGCCTTAACCGAGAGCGGCAATTCCTCGTCGCCGGCATTTTGCTCTCGTTCTTTTCCCTCCGATTTCGATTTCTTATAAGCTTCGGCTTTCTTCAATGCAAGCTTCACCGGATCCACGGCGAGCTCAACCTCCGACGAGCGATCCGACGAGGAGTTGCTCCGAGTTCGGAAAAGTGAGAGTTTCAAGGATTTTGGCTGTTGAGATGGATACAAAAAGCAAGTAGGAGTTTCGGTGAGTGGAGAAGAGAGCCAGGAGTGGTTGAAAGAAGCCATGGGTTGGTGCAGAGAAGAGCTGGTTAGCCATTTTTGGAGTGGCAAAGTTTCAAAGACTCGTGGCTGCAACATCACCACCCATCCATTTCATAATTACTGAAGCACATCACAGTTCGTTTTCTTCGGTTTAGATTGGTATAAGAAAAAATTTCTCGTTCGGTTTTATGGTTTGATCAATTTTGATTCGATTCGGTTTAGTTTGCCTCAATTCAGTTTTTACTATGCGAAATTTGGACTCGGTTAGGTTTATTTGGTACAAATTAGTGAATTACATTATACTGTTTTTAATCATAAGAAATTCGGTTTTAGTATTGGATCAATTTTGAATCGATTCGGTTAAGATTATTGCTAGATCTAGTCCAGAATATAAACACTTTTAGCCCAATCTCGGCCCAAGTCCAGCTGGAACTAAACTAGCATCAGTCGGGTCGGTTCGGGTCGTAAATACTAAACACCACCTTTTATCTTCGACGTCGTTGAGATTCACCTCCGCGAGGCTTAAGCCCTAAAAATCCCAACTTACTCTTCTCCACTCTCTGAACCTCTTCTTCTCTGTATGTCTTGATTCTGACTTCTCTCTGAACAAGAAGCTTTCGCGTGAGAGAAATGACGAAGGTCTATGGAACCGGTACGTACGACTTCAAACGCCACAGAGTGGCGGAGTATCCATTGGAGTTACCTAGCCATCCTGCTGAGAAGCCACTAGAAGCAAAGCCTGGATCCAATTTACCGAGCTCCATCACTTTATCGGAGATTCAGCAAGATAGGTTAACGAAAATCGCTGAGGAGAGCTGGATTAAGACTGGAGGCAAGCTACCGGAGAAACCTTTCGATCCGGAGGTTGTGAAGGAGATTTATGTGACGGAGCTTAAGGTAACTAGTGGTCGTAAACCGGTTCCACTTCAGCGAGTTATGATTTTGGAAGTGAGTCAGTATTTGGAGAACTATCTATGGCCGAATTTTGACCCTGAGACGGCTACGTTTGAGCATGTCATGTCTATGATTCTTATGATTAACGAGAAGGTAACTAATCTTGCTCTCTTTTGTATTTGACTGTTGGTGAATGATTAATCATTATCGTTGGAGTTTGCAAACAATGAAGTTTAACATTGCTTCATGCTTTGTAGTTCCGGGAGAATGTGGCAGCTTGGATTTGCTTTCATGATCGGGACGATCTATTCAAAAAGTTTCTTCAGAAGGTTCTTCGCCTTAAAGTG